GAGTAAATTCATCCAAGTTTTTTGACGTCAGAATCTTAAAAAGTGGTTTATAATCTGTTTAGATTATTATGTCCTTACCAACTATTTAATCTTCCAACTTGTCACATGCCCAGGCGATTCCCAGAGCTTCTCGTTCTTTGTTGGAATATTTTCTTTCTGTATCAGTGAGAGAACGTGATATGTAGCTAACTGGTTTGAATGTGCCACTTTTTTCTCGTTGCAACAATACTCCACCGATACCAAATGATGATGAATCAGATGAAATCATTGTTTGAAGATTAGGATCATAGAAAGCTAAGTGAGGAGCCGTAGGAAGAAGATTTTTGATAGTATCAAAAGCTTTTTCTTGCGGTTTGTCCCATATTCAGTCTGTGATTATCTTTGTTGAGTAGCTCGTGAATAGGTTTAAAAATCTCAGACCTATTTTGAATATATCTTCCACTGAAATGATCATTCCAAGATATGTTTGTACACCTTTCAAATCAGTTGGAGGCTCTATCTCAGAAATAACCATAACTCTGTCCTGATCAAGAGAAATACCATCAGCACTCAGTTCTAAGCCAAGGAAATTATTTTTTGGCAGTGAAAAGACTGTTTTCTCTTTATTCAAGGTAATACCTTCCTTTTGAAGCTTTTCCAGAACCTCCATCAAAACCGTGTAATGCTCGGCTTGTGTGCTTCCCATATTAGGATATTATCTATGTAAGCTTTTACATTTCTTTGATCGCCAAGAGCAAGCAGCATGGATGCGTTTCTGGAAATACTCCGGAGCTGATGTAATGCCAAAGGGGAGGACCTTGAACTTAAATCGTCCTTAAGGTGTAATAAAAGTGGTGAGATCTTGTGATTTTTCTTCCAAAGGTATTTGCCAAAACCCGTGATTGGCGTCTAGCTTAGAGAAGACAGTAGCTCCTTTGATCTGTGGTATTGTGTATTCTATCCCTGGAATTGGATGTAACTGGTGCCGAACACTTTGGTTTACTTTCGAAAGATCAACACATATCCAAACTTTACCGCTGTCTTTCTTTGGTATGACGACCATCGGGGAACACCAAGGTGTAGTAGCATGATCTACTGGAGTTATGACCTCCATATTTATCAATCTTTTGATCTCTTCCTTGGTTTTTGACCATAATGGTAGAGGTATTCGTCAAGGTACTGTAACTGAGAATGGCTTTGCTCCCATTTTTAACTCAATTTCATAAGCTCCGTTAATTGTTCCTAAACCACTGAACAGAGCTGGTTATTTTTCGTACCAGTTGGTTGAAGTCAAACACAAACTTCGGACAACTTGTAAAAGGTTAAGTTTTTCAATGGCTGGTTTACCTAGGAGCAGCGTTTTACATTTTTCCGCTAAGTTACACAAAAACTCTCGAAACAAGATTTGTTCTTATAGTCCAACCTTACATTTACCATCCCGTGTACAGCTAACTCAGTCCCGTCCGGTCCTGAGGGTATTTCACAGGTATGTTGCAATGGAACTTTTGTGTTTAGCTTGATATTAGCTGGCAAAACTGAACCGTCTGCTCCGGTATCGATTTTAAACTTAATAATGTCAGCATCATTAAACCCGCGCTCAACTTCCCAAGATTCAGGGTTAGAGCACTGTTTTCGGTAATTTTACCTATGAATTCTTCAGAATTTGATGAATGTGTAACCTACAATATTGATTAACAAACTGAGGTTCACTACTGACTTAATTAACCTTTTGCTTAGAACAAACTATAGCAAAGTGACCGTTTGTTTTACACTTGTTACACCAAACATTTTTGGCAGGACACCAGCCTCGGCGATGGGATGATGAAGTTTTCCCACACCATTTACATAGGTTACCTGGATTGGATTTTCCATGGTTATTAGAAACAGTTTTCTTACAAAAAGACTTTTTGGAACTGGCGTTTAATTTTACCCGATCAACGGAGGGATCAGCTAGGTCAAGTTTTTGCCAAACTAATGCCTCTGAATTGCGAAGAGCATCAACCCCGCAATTTCTAATTTTAGTGAGCTTTGTAACTGTAAGCAATCACTAAGGTTTTGATAATTCATTCCAACAATAAGTTGCATGAGAATCATTTCATCCCCTAAATCTCCCCAGTTGCATGGTTTTACAAGAGTATGTAAGTCCGTGATGAAGTTTTCAGCAGACTCTGAGGATACCTGTTTTCGTCTAATAAATTTAGCACGCTGATAAATTATTTTTGTCTTGGGAACGAAATGGTTTTTTAAATTCCCCATAATTCATAATTTTCCAACTCATCAGGGCTTAGATTAAAGGAATCAAATATTTCCTCAGCCTTATCCCTCATACTACTGTATGAATATCAACTTGCCTTTTCCCAGGTGCTTTATGTAGATCGCTGACTGACCTGTACCTTTCAAAGCGTTTCTTCCACGTACTCCAATCATAGGGGTTAAAGGAAAAATTGTCTGGAGGCTTGGCATGGATTTGATTTGTTTGAAGTCTGTTCTCTTCAATTTCCTGTTGGATCTGTAGGTTTAAATCACACTGCGCCATGTATCACGATCGTCGATAGTTAGTTGTCGTGACAATAATTTAATCAGGAATGAACTAAATTAAATAGGACTTTATTTTAAAATGTCTTGTAAGAAGTCAAAACAATAACAATATTTGTTTACATCTGATCATAATAATCTCCTAAATAAAACCAGGGGGGGGGGTCAGAGGGGTCATGACCCCCCAAAATATTTTTTATATAGATTACCAATTATACCAGGGGAACCTTAATAATTTGTATTGCAAATCGTTCTACCAAAATCATTGTAGTCTTTCCACTTGTGGAGAACGAAGGACTACTTTAGTTACAAACTCTAACCTAAAACTTGAGATCGTTTGAGTCCGACTAATATTTTTTATACGTTATGAGAAGTAGGGAAGATCGGCAGACGACGCACGCTTTCAGACATACGGCAACGGCAGTGTCCGAGGCTGGGGTTTGACGCTCGGCCGCATTCTTCTTCTTATTTATTTTTTTGCATTTAAATGTTATCATTCACTGTGTAAAAACACATAATTTACATAGCCTATATACAATTATTTCTCAAAAAGACTATACTTATCAATGTGTGATTTAAATCATTCGTTTTGTTTGTTTATACATATTTTAAAAACAACATTATGATTATTACAGTCCACTGCTACCCTCAATAAACATGTATTAAACATTTTCTATCTTTTATTTTACAATTCAAATCAATTTAACTTTACATTCACTTTAACCTAGATGATTGAAAACTTGATTTAGGTATTGAATAAAGAGAATAAGTTGTATCAATAGTCAAAGCTTGAAGGATAGTAGAATATTCATTTATCTGAGTTCAGGGGCCCATTTCATAATAAACTACAAGTTACAAGTTACAACTTGTAACTTGTAATTTCCATTAGATTTGCATTGGGCGATCAGCTGATTTACTAATAATATTAGTTTGTTTGTTTGTTAGTTTTAATTTTTGTAATCTTTTACTGTGAAAGTAATGCAAGTTTATTTAGGCCTACAAATGAATTTCAATGACATTGGGTCGTGCACAAAAAATGTTGTGCAAATGGTACCAATCCGTGAGCATGTACATATTTAGGCCTATGATTATTTATTTAACGTACCTAAAAATTAAACACCACAAGCAAAGCTCGGTCCCTTATATTGAATTAAACGAACAATTCTTCCATGCTGATGCTCATCAACGCTTATAACCTACTGTATTGGTTAAGCCAAACAAATCCTACAAGCATAGTTGGGAAAGTTAGTAAAAATTCTAACTAGTTAGAAGTTAGAAGTTAGTCCCGTAAAAAGTAATTGATAGAAGTTACTAGTTAGTTAGTTTAAAAAGTAACTGATAGAATATTGCTCGTCATACAGTAAGTCTTTCATATTGACCTACTGCAAGGGATCCTAAAACGACTGATTTTGATAGCTAATGAATGAAAAGAATTAAAAATCCTTAAAATAGAGTCAAACAATATCACAATTAATTAGTTACCCGAAAAGTAACTCTTAAATAATATATTGAATAAGAGTATATTAAATCAAGAGAAAAGAAAGTTAAATGCTAACATGGCAACATAAGCAGAGCCACTACACTAGTGCCCTTAGCAACACAGGTCAATGTTTTTAAACTACCGTCAATGCTTTTATAACAGCAGGGTCTTTTTCTCGGAAGGAAGGGTAGTAGTATGTAAACAGAAAACAATGAATCACTTTATTGTGCACTCAAGGTCATAGACCCTCCCCCTCCCCCTCATAGACCCCTAGTTTTTGGTAAGCACAATAAACATTTTAACGCGATTCCACCCTTTTCAATTTTTTCCAACCTGTTGAAATATGTCATACTTAAGTTTGGCCACGTTATATCACACCCGCCTGCCATTGCAAACAAAAATTTTTAATCTACTGTACTGTACTTAAAAACTGTTCACCTTAATAACATATGTATTAAAAATATTTAAATATCACTAAAATATATATAACGGCAAGATAGCTAAGAAACACTTGGGCGGAAACAAATGAATTAAAACCTGTCACTGTCACATAATGAACATCGACTGAAGTGAATACAATGTTTTGACACTTGAGATTACCGGTACATATCAATCGCCAAACCAACATTCCCCCTTCCCACCCTTCGTTGCTTGGGGTGTTGTTATTGGCCGTCACTGCCTTGCTCCCTGGGTCCGCTGCATACCAAAGCGACTGGACTTTGAGTTTCTCTTTCCCCACCCCCGCGTTGTTTGTCAACAAGGGCGCTGACCCCTCATGAACGCACGCAACCCTCACTGAACACATCACATAAATAACCCATTTGAAATACTTACGCCTGACAAATAAACTAACGATTTAAAACTAACGAATATATTATCTATTCGTTACCTATAAAACTAACTGAGTAGAAGTTATTTCCTACTAAAAAATAACGAATAGCGCTATGGTTAGAATTTCTATTCGTTATCCCAAGTATGACTACAAGGACTAAAATAACTGACCTACCAGCGGTGAAAATGCCATCTCCATCTTCATATCCTAGTTGGTAAAGAAGTCTTCCAATAACTGATCTCTCAATGATTGTAAACACTGGAGCAACCTCAAATGTATGCCTGAAACCAACACCAACTTGTAAAACTACAATACACGGTATATTAATTTGATTAGCATACCCCATGGTGGCCTTGCCCATCACAAAATTTAAGTTAAAAAGTAAAATGTTTTATTTAATTGTTAGATAATAATAAAAAAAACCTGCCACAGCAAACCTGCAGACTAGGCGAATTTCATTTTTTTGTATTGGATTTTTACTGAAATCCTATACTCTAATAGGTACTGTACAAGCATTGTCTGTTTGTCTGTTGAAATACAGTGGAAGAATTTTGACTAAATTTAGGAATTATAGGTACTTATAGCCTTAAAAACGTGATTGACGACAGCCACACTATACTACCTCAGTAAAATTAGTATCTAGCTACAAAACTCATTTGAAAATTTAACATTGTGGGTTGCCAAGTAACTTGTTGGTAGAACAAAATAACAGGTAAATACCCCCACCGCAGCAAACCTGCCGACTACGCAAATTTCCATTTCTCTGAATGATTTTCAATTAAATTTATTTAAATAACATTAGGTTTAACGAGTGCCTAGGTTTGCTGCTACAAGGAAACTGAACTAATAATGTGTGTTTTAGTAAAATATCAATAGCTTAGTATAAAATAAATAAATTTGCCAAGTTAGATCAAAATATACCCATTAACAAGCAAACTACAACATTTTCAATATTCTCCATAAGAATAACATGGGAATTTTAAATTTAAATTTTTTTGAATTTTCTCCATTACCAATAACCGTACAAAAACACTTTGATATACTAAGAGGCGGTTTGGGAGCTCGTTATTAGCGCTAGTCCGCGAATAAAACTGGATATTTCCGGTATTTTAAGCTGCCGCCTCGAAAACGGGTTTGTGAGCTCGGGATCAGTTAGGCACGCGTCTAACCTGTGCAGGGATAATCTTGCGCCTAAATATTGTCGGTTTGGGAGTCAAGTAGACTTAGGCGCCAGCCTAAGAGATAGTCTCAGTGGGTTTGGGAGACCAATTTTGGGACTAAGAGATATATTTTCGCCATAAAAATTAGTGAGTTTAGTCCCCAACTTTAGTCCTGCCAGGGGGCAGGTCTAAGTCGACATCATGCCGGTGGTACCTCATTAGCAAGTTAATTGTTTACATATTAAGTAAAAGAATGTTATATTGGAATTCGTTATTAAATTCCGAACAATTTCATTACTCTCAAAGTATATTTGATAAAAGTTTTTTTTAGGTTTCTGTTGTTCAAAATAAAACAAAAATCTTGCAGAAAGCTAAATTTAACAAAATATTATTTGGTTTTTGATTTTACTGTTAACTGCAATAAAAATATGGACGCTAAATAGAATTTCTTTCAACTGAAATTTTGGCTATAAGCACCCGTACCTTAATTATAAATATTTTATTAGCTAGGAAAAAATTAGAAGCCTCATACATACCCCCACTCACCCCCTACGAAAATGTGAAGAGATGGTAAACAAAACATAAAAAAACTGCAAATAGCTCACAGTCATAATCGTTTTCTTTTAATTGCGTTGTGATTGAGCTCAGTTCAGTGTCATTGACCAAGTGATAGTTACATTAAAATGGAGTACCTAGATTATTTGGAGTATAAGAAAATATATATAGTATATCAATATAACCAGCCACAGAAAACCTGCAGATTAAGCGAATTTCCAAATAACCTAATAGGAGTTTCAATTAAATTTATTTAAATAGCTTTAGGTTTAACAAGTATCTAAAACTACCTACGTGTAGGTATGCTGCTACAGGGAGGGTAATAAAGTGTGTTTTTTCTTACCAAAATATTAACAGCTTTATATAAAACTAGCTGTTTGCCCGTTCTACGTACGGGAATATTGTAGTAAGTTGAAACCTTATATTCAGAACAGGAGTTGGTTTGCATATTTAGTGTGAATTTTTCCAGATATGCTGGCAAAACTATTACTGTATAGGAATACAAATAAACCTTCACAAATACAATATCTGACAGTTTCAAAGCCAAAACGAATGCTTCGCAATTAAATGTCACCCGATCGTGTTAGTCCATATTTTATATCTAAAAGGAATTGCTTTATAGATCTATGAGGCATAGCCCTAAGGTAGGCCTGTAATTGAAAGTAACTTTTCACACCGGTAAAAAGTAGTTAAAATACTACCTCAACCTCACTACTGCACACTTTATTCGGGTTGAAATTTTCATTAACAAAGGTGCTCTTGTCTTTTCCTCCACGAAACACTGAGAAATAAGGGCATTAATACGTTAACAACATACATACACACACAAATACAGAATTGAATTAGGGGATTTGCTACGCTTTAACCAAAGCAAAATACAAACAAAATAATTATTTGAAAGTTTTGATAGTGTCATCAAATGTTATGATAATCATTTTTAGGCCTAATCAAAATGTAAAATTGGCGTAAATCCGTTGGCAAATATATAAATAAGTAAATAAATACACAGTCCACAAACCATTTAAACGTTAACAACGCCAAGCTTTAAAAGTTCATGATGGTTTGTTAAAAAAATCTTTCACTAATGTTTTATCATTTTCATAGCATAAACCAACATTTTGGAGTCCAGACAGAAAAAACAAAAATTATACATTAAGACATCAATTAAATTTAATAAGAAATAAGGTGAAGCACTAACGATAACTATAGTTGTAAATAGTGATGTATTTGTACGTAAAAATAATTCTTACTGCTACCACCGGCTCTAAGGAAAAGTAGCAGTACCAAAAACCAACGTTTACATTGAAGAAAAGAACTATATAGTATGTACTTACGACCAATTCAAATTGTCCTTCTAACCAAACTGTATTATAGGTGTTAATACGTTGGCAAATATATAAATAAATAAATACACAGGTCACAAAACATGTAATATGTAACGTTAACAACGTAAAGCTTTAAAACTCACTATGGTTTGCTCAAAAAAACTTTTACTTGATGTGGTGCACTACCGAAGTTATTAATCTCCCTTGGTTTTTAAGTTTTCGAAAATCAAAGTTATTTCCCATTAATATCATTATTTGTAAGCAACTTTTAATGTTAACATATTAATGACAGTTTCAAGAAACCACCTTTATCCAAACAATAATCTTATTTCTCGTTCTTATTTTTCTTATTATTTCGTTTCTTATTTAAAATATTACGTAATCTCTAAACGATAATCGGTACATATATCTAGCAAACATTCGGAGGAAATGTGACAAAAAACACACAAATCTGGGGTTTTGGACGTTTGTAGTTTTATTTTCTAAGTAAGAAAGGTACCGATATCGTTGTCGAAATGTAAGTAAGTAGGAACCAAAAAGACACATTGGAAAAGCGAGTTTAGCTACATCTGTAAGTTAAACCTCTGTTACGATCACAGTGAAATCAGAAAGATCTTTCAAGATCACAGCAACATCCACGATCACCCACTGCAGTTGTGATTTTTTTACTTTGCACTTTACACAACTGTCCTTGAAGCGCCGTCAATGAGTGGAAACCTTTTTTTGTAAGCTGTTGGTGACGATGATAAAAAAATGTAAGTTTCCCAGCACTAATACAACACTGATTCACCATATTTTCCCCGGTTATCAAAACTCAAGAACAATCGTTGCACTTGTGATTAATTACATCGGTTAATTAAGGCACAACGTTTTTAATCTCACTTGGTTTGGATGTGCTAACAAAACTTGATCGGAAATGGTTGCGGTATTTGTAAACAACTTTAAATGTAAACATATCAGTGACAGCTATAAGGGAGAACTAATCCAAACAGCTGATCGTTATTTCATAAAATGTAATAGTAAACATTGGGAGAAAGTTTGAAAAAAATTAAACAAAATTGGGTTTTTGATGGTTCGTTATTTCGTTTTCAAAGAAGCGAGGCCATGTTTTTTATAGCCAAAGACACTCTCGCCAATCCAGTAAATACAGAAAAATTATTAGAACCTTGATCGGTAATCTAGTTTTCTAGGAGTAGGCCACGTAAAATGACATTTTGGCGTCACAGACGGAATCACAGAATGGACAGACAAACAGACAAACAGACATACAGACAGAAATTGAGATAAGACTCGTTTCGGCTTTCTCAGGCTATGAAACGTAAAAATAACCAAAAACTGCATGATTCTAAGCGATGTACAGACAAAACTGTAATTTTATTTATATAGATAAATAAATTTGCCAAGTTTCATCAAAATATATCCATAAACGACCACACTACAACAGTTGATTATTCTCCATAAGAATCACATGGAAATTTTAAATTTACAATTTTCTGAATAGTCTCTGTAGCCAATAACCGTACAAAACATTTTAAGATACTAATTTGTTTTTTATGCTCTTTAAAATATTTTAAAGATAAAGATATATGTTATAGGGGTTAAAATTGGGAAAAAAACTACTTTCATCCCATAAAACCACGGGTTCCCATGGTCTGATCATGCTGGTTCGCAAACTCATCAAGGTTTATCGCGCCTTACACTTTCAGACCAAATTTGATCAAAATCAGACAAAAATTACTCAAGTTATCACGTTCATGGGCGTATATATAATATATTAAATATAGGCTATGCATACATAAAAATTTGGACGAATAGTGTTTTTGGCCTCTAGGGACATCAAAATGGAAAAGTATATCGGTCCTGGAACCAAGTGCTACCTACGGTAATAGATACTTTCCTAGGAAAATTAGATAAAAGAGTGTCATGTTTAAAAATGTTTAAATTGACAAAAAAATTTTCTAAGTATTAACAGATATATTTTACATTTACCTTGGCTTCACATCATCATAACCTCCGCAATTACTTAAAATACTTTATTATTTTTTTATTTTCGTCTATACCCCTATATTATACAGGGAAATTGATGTTTAATTTTGAAGCTTTTTATTGTGTGAAACCGAGTTTCAGATGTTACGGTTCCACACACAGGGTAATCTTTGTTAAATGATTACCTAATATTTTTGATCACTGAAAGAAATCATAATGATTTTCAGAATCCTATGTTGTTCTGTAGGTATTTCT